AAGTGCTGACCCCTGCCCTCCCTGCAGCACCCCCTCCCCTTCCCCGGCCTCTAGCCAGCTCCTCCTCTCCAGGCCCACCCTGACTCAAAACCCCACGTGCGCTGGCTCCACTCCTACAGCTGACTGGCTTTCCTTTGGCTATACACGCTTGCAATCCATGACAGCACTAAAACAAGTCAACAGAAGAAGAAAAGGGGTCAACGTAGCTGGTTATGAATATGTCTTTTAATTCTAATTAAAGGTGGAATATCATTTTGTCTTCCAATCCGTTCTGTTTTCTTTTCCTGTATCCACGGCGTCTGACACCCCACAACCAGACTACGAAGAAGCGTAACTACCATGAGATGAACTTTCAGTGCCGAGCCCTTGGAGCTGCTCCAACTTTCTGAACCTTCCTTCTGCCTTTAGACAGGTTTCCCTGCAGACTGGCTGAATGTCAAAGCCCTGGTCTACCAACAACAGAAGAACACGCAGAACCCTCTTTTCTCTTTCTTGCATCCTCTGACACCTCACAATTAGTTTTCAACCAAAAAAATAAACAGAATTATAGGAAAACCCTGCAGGAGAGGACTGGTGGCATGAATGCCTCTGCAGACACTACCAGAGTTGTAAGTCTTTGACTCCTGCTGCCAACCGATCTTGTAAAGCCAGAAACACAAGTTGTGCACGGGTAGGAGGACATTTTAATTTTGTTATCTGGCTCATTGGGAAGCACCTTCACCTCTGAAATCATGATGTGGTGTGTTACGTACATGGCAATGAGGCTTGAGCACTTGCCCAGTGATAACACTGTACTGCTGGATGATGAGAAAGGGACTCGCTGTGCTTGGAAAAAGAGCTGATGAATGGATGGAGAACAATATTATGATGTCCACTCCTTCTCCCAAAAGAGGTTCTTGTTTAAAATGCTGGTCCAGCTTGACATCTTGGAGACTGAAAATAAATCCTCCCACAAAATTTGAAAATGAAATCTTGAGTGTGAAGGTTTGGAAATTAATCAATATAAAACTACACATATATACACAAATATCTATATGCACCTATAAATAGAAATTTACATATATATATATATAGACTCTGATGGAAAGAGAATCAAGAAATACTAGTATAAACAACTGAAATAAAAGGGCATGGAGTGGTCCTAGGATGTCTTTATTTTATTTCATTTCCATTCCCCGCCAAACCCTGATAATTTAAACTAAATAGCTAATCAAATGAGATCAAACGGATAATGCCACCCCTGTTGGGAGTTCTGCAGCAAAACTATCAGTCAGCTTTATCCCCTTTGGAAAGGGAAAGTCCATCTGCTATGGACTATATGATGGCACTTATGTTGCCATGCTAACAGCTCCTCCAACAGTGGGACAATTGCTTTTCTAAGATCAAAAGGAAAGCTGAATGTGCTGCATAAAATGCAGTAAATGTACATATAAAAGATTTAAGAATAGAGCATAAGATTGCTTCCTAGAAAAAATCCAGGCCAACCACTTCACTCATGAAGGACGGGGCTTTGCATGTTTCCTCTTATTGAATCCTCAACAAGTCTGCTAATGAGAACCTCCTGCTCATTCACAGTGGCAGTGCTGCTAACATTGTACGAACTCCCTCTCTTGTTGCTACACAAACTCTACTTAGGGCCAATTCAGACCCCAAAGACCTTTTCTACACACAGCACAGAGAAAAGAGGACCATCACCCAGGTTCACACAGTTTGTCTACAAAGCAGAAACTGTATGACCAAAGGACTGTTTCCCCTCCAACAGGCATTACAGAACACATGAAAACTTTGTTATCAGCTTTGTTGTCACCTTGCTCATTCCCTTGGTTTATTTACATTTCCTTAGAATTCCTGACTGTCTGAACTTGGTTAGTCAAAATGACTGGTGCATGCACAAATTCTGGTAGCTCATTGATTATTCTCTATTATGAAATAGCAACATGAGCTCTTAAACAACTCTGGGCTTACCCCATATCAGGCTACTTTAACTCATTCTTGAACTTTAAAATGGGAGGACGATCCCCCCTTCCTGGCTGTTTTGTCTATTAACACTGTATGGTGGGAGAGAGGGAGGCATAGATTGTCTATAGCTATTTCTAAATTATCTATTACTATGCACGCCCAGTCTTGCTTGAAGGCCATTACTGTGATCACATAACAAATAGGAAATAATTCAATTGTCAGTAATATTGCTAGTTTAGCCAACACAATGTATATCTGAGGTTGTATATCAGTGCACATCCAGAGAGCCACAGTGCAGCTGTGTTTTTCCCCATGCACCTAGAAATGTAGCTCACAGTCTTACTGAATAAGACAACTCAAAATGCTGGATAAAGAGCTGGAAGTCCTAGAGCTCACAGCTATCTCCATCCCTCCAACCACCTTGGTAAAAAACCCCACCAAAACAAACAGAAAATGACTGCTAGGCTAACATGCATACACTAACAGATTTTTATTATTATTTTTTAAAACTCATTTTCAGTGTTAAATAAACTGTGGAAAAAGGATTTGATTCATGGTCGCATTAGGAATCTACTCAACCAAAGCCCCTTGTCACAAATTAAATCATAAACCAAAAGTCAAACATGATTTGTGAAATTAACATTTATCGAGGAAAGACTCCCCAGCGCTGCATTGTGATTATCTCTGCCTTCTGAAATATCACCCGTAATTCACGAGCTCCTCTGAAACCATGTCCCTACCGTTACTGCTGACATGGCATGCATGATGGAAAGGTGCTGCCACAACCAGAGAGCAACAACCCCTTCTGTGATGCTGGTGAGAACCAGAGGTCACTGTGTCTTACTATTTGGCAAAGTACCTGCATACACACTTCTCAGCACCCCCTACTTGTAACACTTCGCCCCTCCACAGGCACTCTCCTCCACCGCCTCGATTTACCCAGGGCCACGGCTGTTACTAATTTTGAACACAGAAGTGTGGCAGAACCTCTGCATTGTGCCCTTTCTTTAAAATAGTGACTAATAAAAAATGAAATGCAATTAACAGCCACTGGCTCTTTCACAGTCAGTGCCTTTCAGCAGAGGGATTCACTGTCTTTGTGGGGAGATGCGGACAGCTCAACCTTACAGGCAGAGGAGCTAAAGCAGAAAGAAAGCCTGGTGATTGTTAAAGGCTAAATGGTCACTGGCAAAGGATGCTTTGGAGCCCAACATTTTTTAGAAGTCACAATATCCAGGTACAGCTTAAAGATAGGGGATGCTTCCCTTTTCAAGATGATTTTCAATAGGAAGATATTCTCCTGCCAAGGAATGCAGTCATTTTTTGGAAATCTTGGTGTAAGATCATCCCCACTGCTCTGAGAACCAGGTATTTTTCACTTGGAGCAAAACAGCCCCCAAGTCTTTCAGGTAAAGAAGGAGAGCTCAGCTCAGCTGCTGGCTTCACAGGCATTCAGAGCAAGAAGAAAGCTTCAGCACCTCTATAACCCATCCCCTCACTCCAAGTGACAATCATGGCCTTTCTTCTTCATGTATTCATACATTGTCTCCACTGCTCAAGTATACCACACCTACCTGGAACACATCAGCTGTATGCTGTGTTTATGCAAGTGCATGTGTGTTCATGTTTATGTCTGTGTGTACCTAAGGTAAGTATACAAATAAACAAGGATCACAAAGAGTAATATTCCTTCTCTCTTAACCAAAAGAAAGCCTGGGACTTCATCCCACCCCCTTTAAACCAAAGGAATGTGCTCTTACAAATGGCGCCTCTCTTTTCAGGATTAAAGGAGAACTTACTGGCTGTAAAGCCTCTTTTCCCTTTGCTACCCTTCTCCTGCATGCAGAGCAGGCCGCGTTAGATCTGGGCCTCTGATCCCAACTGGGGCAAACTGGGCTTAATGCAGCCATGACCATTTACATGACTGAGGACAGAGCACTCGGCATGCAGCTCCGAGAACATCTGAGCCAGCCTTCACCCAGCGCCTGCACGAGCTCACTCTGGCAACCGCATTTCACCGCAGATGGCAGGCTCTGCCCCAAAGGAGGGTGGGGAATCCAAAAGAAATTAGTGCCTGCTCTACTAAGCTAACCCTTAGGCACAGAGGCCTCACTTCTCGGAACAGGAATTCATTGCTCTGGTAACGAGCCTGGCTGAATAGTTCATGAGGGACTGTTACCTCCATTCAGCACACTTTCTTTGGGTAAACAGTCTTTCCCTTCTTGTGTTCTGATATTAAGGAGAGGTCACCAATAGATGGTGGTTTTAAAAAATAGTTTAATTTTGTTTAACCACTCTCTTCTACTTGCAATAACCTGAAAATAACACTGAGTTCCCTATTGGGTTGCCCTATTCCATTTGGCGAACATTGATTTTTTTTTTTCCTGTTGTGCCAAGATTAATGTGGCCTGTTTGTTTGACAACAGATTCAACATATCTAGTGCCCTGTCAAGCTAAAATGACTCTGTCTGTGGACAACATCCCTGTCTGGCATGGGCAATGATCTGAAATGAAAAAAAAAAAAGGCTTTGCTACTTCACTCTTACTGCAGAACCATCAGGAGACTTCAGCAGCCCTTAAAATCAAAAATTGTTATTGATAGGGTAAATTTAAAGTATTACTAATGAGATTTGAGGGTTTCAGTGAAAACTATTAGGCAAGGGAGGTTATCCAAATTATCCACTCTAACAGTCTGTTATAGTCTTGATTCAAAATGGTTCCAGATCTTACAGGTACAAACAAACCTTCCTCCCTTCTTGCTGTTTGATAGAAAACATTGGTTTGTCCCCTCTCCTCCATTTTAAGTAGAAAGAGAAACAGCATACAAGTAAAGTACAAAGAAGAAAATGAGAAGTCAAGGAAATTAGGAGTGTTCCTTCCTCATCCAAGTACCAGCTATCACACGGGCACCAGCTGAGGATGAAAACATGCCCTGCTCCATTCTTTCAGAAATGTTACCAAGTTCCAAAACCCTCATCTCCCTCCCTCCCTTCCTTCCTCCTTCCCTTCCCCTTTCTCTGGCAAAAGCCAGTAATACCTACAAATATTTTTTATTTTCGTAAACATCATGCAGCTTTAAAACGTGGGGATGTTCTATCAACTTCAGGATGGCTATTTCCCGCTCCACCTGGAAGAAACAAAAAGAAATAGAGACAATTAGAAGCTTGGTCTTACAATACTTTCGATATCATCACACACTGTCTTCCCATTTATCCATTTGCTGCTCCTCTTTATATGCAGAGGATATGGTAATTTATAACATTGTATCTTAGTTAGCACTCATAAAATTTAAGAAAAATTCAATTAATTCAGCTTCAGCACTCGCTGCCCTGAAGAACAGAAAACCAGCAAAATTTCAAGATTGAAAGAAAAGTGCCATATCTACCAAAGGGAATTAGCTGTAGGAGTTACATGAGCACTCAAGGCTGTTCCTGCCTCACAATCCAAAGCCAATGACACATTCTCAAAGCACAGAAACCATAAAATGTCACTTTAGGGTCTCTCCCTATCTCCCACAGGCTCAGGTGTGGCCATGCTGCACTACATATCACACCCCCAATTAATACTAGAAAATCCCCACCCTGAAGAACTTGCAGTGTATGCAGCAGACAGACAGCAATGTGATTTTACAGCTGCAGAACCGAGGCACAGAAAGAGAAAGAAATGCAAAGAATACAAGGAGTGACATAAGAAGTACAAGGCACAACAAGAAATTAAACTCGCTTACTGCAGCCACAGCGCTCAGAGCCTTAAGCATAGGACCCTGCTTTCTCTCAATTCCCAATCTGTCCCAGCTACTTCTAGAGCATGTCTTCAACATGGAGTTAACAAGTTGTGACTAAGTCCCTGTAATTAGTGCAAGTTCTCACCCAAAATTCCTATCATGACTGCCATGGTGCTCTTAACTTGCTCAGCTGCTAGCAAAATTGCTCTGCGCTGCTCGAAGCCACGCTCTAACCACTCTGATCGGACCTAGGCTGACTGGAAGGGAGTTAATGTAGCACTGTGGAGACTGTAGATAACTGCAATAAACTCTGCAACAAGACACTGTGCAAGCATTGCGCGGTTGGGCACGACAAATTTCTAGGAATCCATAAAGGCAGGAAAAAGACCTAAAGAAGGAAACAAGGACAACTAGGTAGGTTTTTTTCCCCAGTCCTTCAAATACTGATTGTCTTGGAGCTGCTATGTTACCGAACAAAACACGAACAAACTAAAAACCCATCCCTTAACATCTTCCCTGCAGGGATCAGCGAATAATTAGGAATTTGCCCCAGTACACCTTTAGTTCCTGATGTCCTTTAATTTCCTGAGACATTGTCCTCTGCTAAGCCTGAACACAGACAACTTTCCCTGAATGCCAGTAAGACACTCGGCAGGAATTAGAAAGTGGTAATTTTCCAGCACCACACAGAGGAGGAAGATTTCCCAGCATGTTGGTTATCACCCCACATCTCTCTTCTTCTACACCACCACACAAAACCAGCAAAAGCAACTCACACCACACCACCCTTGGCCTTCCTCACATATCAGGATGGAGGAACTGGTGTTTGTATGTGCATCAATCTTAGTCTTTCAAAGACACTTATTCGTCTCTGAAGAGTCAAAAGTCATCTGAGAGATCTACTTCCACACTTGGGATCTCTGGAAATAGCTCCCTCAGAGAAGTGGTGAATGCATGTAAACATGTATGTACACAGTTCAGCTCTGCCAGAACTGCTATGAATTCAGTGATACGCAGTACTTGATGGTGACAGCTCTGTAGGCGTAACTTACTCATGACCAGCACTTAGATGAAAGCCGCTTATACAAATAGGAAATGAAAGTTGGGTAGGTTTCAACTGTACAGCTATTCCACCAAAAAAAAAAACCAAACCAGGGGGAGAGCTAGTTTAGTCCATTTTTGTCTCCTCTTCAAAAAAAACTGTTACTCTTTTCTCTTACAAGACATGCACTGATACTTGCAGAGGGCTTGTTCAGCCCTAGAATTGATAAAGTTGGATTTGCATCAAGAACGAGGAAAAAAAAAAAGAGAAGCAGCACCCACTCCCATAACACTGTTCCAATATTACTGAGGTTCACCATCAGCACCATGTAAGGCAGCTGCTCAGAAACTGGAACTCCAACAAAGTTGCCTTTGGATGGAGGAGACCAGGTATTTCATGGGGAAGGTGACCATTGCAGTAGCTATGACAGGGATCACCCAACCCTGTTCTCCCTCCTGGGGAGTGTCCTGCCTGGGAAAGATGAAATTCCCTGCAGGCAGGCTAACTGCATTGGCAATTCACTTCCAAAAACCCTCTTGGTGGGTGTGGTGGCAATGTACGTACAGACAGAGTGAATGATGGATGGCAGCGTCCAGTCAGGGTTCTGCTTGGTTACTGTCATAAAGCATGAGAAGAGGAAGTGATTTATGACTACGGCTTGGAGGAAAGGATTCAGTTACAGCACTGCAAGGCCTATATTTGATAAGAGAAAGCCAGACGAGAAAGCAAATATCTACAGATTTATACTAGGAATCAATTAAGAAGAAACAACCTGAGTTACTTCACTTTCATAATTTTAAGTGTGTGAGTATGGAAGGTTCTGTGCGTATTTTTAACCTCCTGAGAACTAAATCCTGAGAGGAAATACAGTTTCAGAGGTCTTGACTTCAACCCCAGGTATGCAGAAAGCATTTATCTTGATGTGCCTGGCAGCATTTCACTACAGTGTACTCCGTGTTCAGGGCTGTGTTGCACCACTCCAGCACAGGCAGCAGTCAGCCTTCCATCGTCTCCTACCTCTTCTAGCTGTAAACCAAGGACAAAACTAATCTACTCATCTCAGTAAGACTTTGTATGATCCTTCAGTGAAAAGGGGCTTTCTGAAGGAAAAATGCTATTACTGTACTTCTCATAGGCCAGGCCTTGGCCCCACGTAGAGGAGCAAGACACTAATGGCTGTATTACTTCAAGAAGGAGAGAATCCCAGCTCTCTAAACAGCAATCTGATAAAGACCATCCTCAGAAATCTTACAGCAGTGTCCTGCCTCTTTTCTTTTCCAAAGAAAAATCACAGTTCACAAAAACATGCAACAGACCACCTTCTCAAAATTACTACTGCAGTCATTACTGATGGGTGACTCTCCCAGATCCTATTCACTTTTTATATCCTCATGGAGAAGCCAGTAATTGATACGGGTTGGACATTAGACCTCAACAGTGGTTTCACTGATGCATGGCTCAGGAGGACCTAGCAGCCACCGTGTCATTAGCAAAAGAGAGGAATCTGAACTCACTGGCAACATAACAGCGGCCTGAAATAGCACGAGCTTGGCCAGACCTTGGCAGGCCCGTTTTGCGCATCCCTGTGCTTGCAAGGCACAGAGTGCTGTCCAGCTCCGAGCTGGCAAGGACAGGGGAGTGGAGAAGCCCTGCAGGGGTGTTTGCTTTAATGCAGATGCAACTATCAGAAAGCAGGGCAAGCTCAGAATAGCCTGTCTAGGGAGGCTCAGCGTCTGTGCTAAACAGGAAGCATGGAGAAATATTTGCGTAATAGTTAAAAGAGAAAGGAAAAAACGTGAAGCTTTCTATGTCACACAAACGCTGGCTGACGTCATAGGGCCCCAACTACAGCCTGGGTTGCTTCAGACAACGGCAGGTTACTGACTGTGCAGCACTCCAGCGTCTTGCAGCAGGGGGAAAGAGCTGTGAAAGGCTGTGCAGGGCAAATGGAGACACACTGCCAACTTGTAACCTCACAGGTGCCAATTAGACGTTTTAAAAATCTGTGCAGGAGGCTGATGTGACAGGATGCTCCAGTGATTCAGCTAATGACAAAGTGCAACACGGGAGCCACAGAACCCTTAGAGGAATAATGCAAAACTCTGGTTGCCTCTTCTCCATCTCTACTTCCTTCTACCCTCCTTCTCCCCCCGAGGAAATCACATCTCCTGGTTTAAGCCCACCTCATCGGCACAGTTTTCACTGCCAACAAGTGCTCTGCTCTCTCACCTTCTGACTCAGACACACGGGGTGCTAATTCACCTAGAAGGCAAGGAGGCCTATTAATTTGCTTAATGACAATTGGGTCACACATCACCGATGTAGTGCTGCGAGAGCTTGAAAACTGAAGTGCACAGCTGTCTCATATTGCCAGGCTGTATTTTATCTACCAAATCGGTGCAAGCACTATGCAGCAGTTGTTGATAGCAGTGTTTCTCAAAGAACACCTACGTGCAAAAAGCTGGGGGACCGCAGATGACATTTCTCCTTGGATGCTTTGAAGTTCGCCAGCAGCACAGCACAAAGCTCTCCCTCTATTGACATCAGCGGCTCCCAGGTTGCCCAAAATGCTGCCCTGAGAAGGAATTCTGGAGCTGCAGAAGTGGTGAGGGGAAATAAAGCCCCGCAGGCTGCAAATGTGTTGTGCTGCTTTTCCTACTCAGAGCAAAAGAGTGGAGGGGGGGTGAGGGTGGTAGGTTTTCATGTTTTCAAGCTCTCTAATGTTGACCCTGCCTTGCTTTGAAGTAATTAATGAAATACTTTTCAGAACTCATGGCTGTCCCTCAGTTACTAGAAACTCAACCAGGACATGAACTTTTCTCTGAGTTCAGAATTATTTAGACTTGGGATGAACTTCAAAGGATGCAGAGATTTGGATGCTCGTCTAACTCCTCAGGCTGGAACTCAGGTTGGAAACCTTGTACCAAAGCACTTACTTTCTCCAGTGTCTGGCCTGCTGTGCAGTAAATTGCATCTCCATGATGAGAGCACAGAAAGCAGGAAGTCAATCACTGGGATACTTCACTGGGTTGAAGTGGCAAAACCAAGGGTATCGGATAGGAAGAAACTAATCTCAAGTTCTCTGGAAAGTCTGTCTCTCTGCCGTAACAGAAACATCACAGGAATAGAACGTGGTACTTTTGCTTCCATGTTATGTGGGACTGAAAGTTAAAAATGGTGAAAAACCACTGGCTTTGGTGAAGACCATCTAGGTCACCTGTTCACTGTTTCCCATAATCACAGAACAATCAGGCTACTCTTGAAATCAGAAGAGAACATTAAAGCAGAAATGGCTTTATACACGTCACTGCAGGCCCAGTATGTCCTGTAGGGTCATCACTGCTGTTGGGATATTGTTCTT